CAGTAGTTCCCATGACCCCTCTCAAGTTTGATAATTCACTAGAACAACTCAGGAAAATACTTTACTTACTGTTACATGTTTATTATAAAGGATACAACTCAGGCATAGCCAAATGGAAAAGATGTTTAGGGCAAGGTGTGTGTGTGTCTGTGTGTGTGTGTGTGTAGGAATGATGCATCTTGAGGAGCTTCCATGCTTCCATTCTCTCTCCAGTCATGTCACCTTCCTAGTACGTCCATGTGTTCACCAATGTGAAAGCTCTGTGCACCTGGCTGTTTAGGCATTTTTATGGAAGCTTTATTACTAAGGCATGGACCTGATCCACCTAGCTTTTATTTCTCTTGAATTTTTGACTTCTGAAAGGGGCTCATTTTGAATAACAAAAGATACTTCTGTCACTCAGGAATTTCTAAGGGTTTTAGGAGCTCTGTGCCAGAAACTGGAGACAAGGACCAAATATATTTTTTTATTATACCACAATTTGCCATCAGGAGCAAGAGTGACCCCCAAAACCATTTCTGCCTGAAGATACCCTTCTCATCCCAAAGCAGATAGAATGAGTGTTCTCTTATCTGAGCTCCTTAGCTGCCAATGATTCTGTAGATTCTGTCATAGTATGCTGTTCTTGTCACACTGTACTTTAATTATTCAGTAGCTTCTAGTTTCTATAGCTCTAACTAGAATTGAGCTACATGAGATAGTATTAAACTCACCTTTGTACCCCCAGCATCTAGCACAGTGCTTGGCACATCATTGCTCTGTAAACGGTTGAATGAATGTGAGTGAATAGAAAACAGGGTCTAGCACTGCTAACCCCTGTGGTCTGTCCGTCTGTGTTTAAGCCTCTTTGGTGTTAATCTGGGGACTGGATCATGATGTTGCTAATTGCATTTTTCAGCTCATGTGGGTTTCCTGAGAATCTCAGCTCTGGTATTCTGCTGTTGAATCCATGGTAGTCTGGAGGGGAATTCAGGATTCATAAATTACTTGGTTTCAGAATAAAAAGACTGGAATTCAGGGAAAGCAAGCAGTCAAGATGCCTTTTGTCTCACAGTGTGTGTTCTTTATAAGACACTGCTTTTCTGTACAATAGGCCAAGCCTACCAAATTTTTAGGCCAGTTTTCCAGGGGTATCATGCGAAAAGAAAAGCTCTCAGGACATTATAAGTTTGACATTTGCCTGAATGCTTAAAAGCTGTTCTCAAATCCAATAATTTTGTTAAGAGCCGTGTGTGTGTGTGTGTGTGTGTGTGTTTGTGCATATAAACTAAATAGCGGTTATTTTATTTTTATTTTTTTAATATTTACTTTTCTTGTTTTTGCTTATTTAGTGTCCTTTAAACTTACAAAGGAAATAACACTTTGGGGCACTAAATACTGACTTTGCTGATTGCTTCATTTGCGCAGCAGTTTAGGAATACCCATTTCCTGTTTTGATGGCCTACAAAATAGGAGTTAATATAGCTTTACACAGAGATATCATGATCCCTGCTTGTCAACTGGTTCAGCTACTGAGGTATCCGAGAGAATTCTAGCAGTAGTGTGACTCTGCAGGAAAAGCACTGGGCTAGGTGTCAGGCCCACCTAGATTTTATTTCTCTTGAATTTTTGACTTCTGAAAGTAACAACCTATTGAAACTGAGGGATATCCATTTGTAAAACTAAATTGTATCTACTTAGCAATCTCAGGGGGATAATGGATAAAATACAGTACTGTTCCTGCTGGAAAAGCCAGGGATAGTACTTGTGTACTTGGGGTCTGTCCTAGTTTCACTTCATGGTGTCAGGCTAGGAAGTCTCAGTTCTTACACAACTGTACCCCAGTGAGACCCATTCTCTTTTAGCAGGTAGAAGTCTGGAAATAGGGGCGCCTGGGTGGCTCAGTTGGTTAAGCGACTGCCTTCGGCTCAGGTCATGATCCTGGAGTCCAGGGATCGAGTCCCACATCGGGCTCCCCGCTCAGCGGGGGGTCTGCTTCTCCCTCTGACCTCTTCCCTCTCATGCTCTCTGTCTCTCATTCTCTCTCTCTCAAATAAATAAATAAAATCTTTAAAAAAAAAAAAAAGAAGTCTGGAAATAGCCTAGTGTGTGCTATGCCTCTGGAATTGATTTGGGCCCCTGGGAAACTTTGTAACCATCAGGTTTTAGCCTTTGTTTCTTACCGCACCATCTGCTGTTGGCTGTTTAATTGGACTTTGGCTCCCATATGGAAGCTCAATTCTCTGAATCTCTGTTGAAATTAGGGCCCAGGCATAAATCTTTTTGCCTAGTTTCTGCTGGCCCCCTTCCAGAACTGAGTGTTGATTGCTTGCAGAATTGTTTGTATTATCTTGCCCAGTTCTCCCATAAGAGTGACTTGATCCCCACTATCCTGAAGAACTTCCCCACCCTGAGGCTTTGATGTAACTCTTCATTTCATGCCCCCTGGGTGACACTGACCCTGGCCTGCATCAAATGTTGGTTTATATTGTCTTGATTTTGGACTTCCAGCTAGTGAGGGACTGATCCAATTAGTCTTATCTAGCCTCCTTTCTCTCCACCAATCAGGTTTACTCCAAAATTCTCTTGATTAGGAGTTGCAACATGCCTTGTATCTGGAACAGAGTAATGGATGCTAAGGTACAAGTACACAATTATCATTGGCAACTTCTATTGATATCAGTAGAAAGCCATCAAATAGGACTTTTAGTATATTAAAATAAATTTTTTTAAAAAAATTATTTGAGAGAGAATATGGCAAGCAGGGGGAGGGGCAGAGGGGGAGGGAGAGGGACAAGTAGATTCCTCACTGAGTGCAGAGCCTAACTCCGGGCTCAATCTCATGACCCTGAAATTATGACCTGAGCTGACACCAAGAGTCAGACACTTAACCATCTGAGCCACCCAGGTGCCCCGGGTTGTCTTTTTAATGTCTTTATCTTCACACCATGAAACAAAGCTTAGCCTATGTTTTCACTGATTAAGCTATAAAATCAGGGTAGAAGTTCATATTTAATGAAATTTAACATCTGAGATATGGTGCATTATTGCTTCCAACTGTATTTTATTTTATTTTAAAAAATTTTTCCCAAATGTATTTTATTAACAATATTTAGCTTATAGTTTGCAAGCCATGAATAAATGGACTGTATCATTCCAAGATATGATTACACTTGTATTTCTTTGAATTGTACCTCTCCATTAAAACTATATAATGTAATGAAATGTTTGCAAGGGCCAGGAGATTTCGGGAAAAGAGGAAGCTTGAAGAAAACTTGATGGAGAGTTTTTTTAATGGAAGAAGATAAATAAGTTGAAATTGCAATCACAGGAAAAGGAAAGAAGATTTTGAATCTTGGTCTTTTTCTTACCATCATGTCAGCAAATTCTGATTATGATATTCCTCATGTAGGTCTGATAAATGCTTTTTGAAAAAATGATTGTGAAATAGACAAACTAGCTGACATCTGAAAAACAGATACCAAACTCCCTAAACAATGCTTAATTTCTTCCCACCTTCCAATTTCAATTTAGGGTGAGGCATCAACTATGCAGTGAATAAAAAAGAAAAAAATGTCTTAGAGTAGAAGATAAAGTTAGTAATGGAGAGAAGGCTATATCCACAGTCTTCTCTTCATTCAGACTCCTTGCCTCTTATTTGTTTGTTCACATATTTATTGTAAAATGTATCTTTGGTATCTGAGAGAATTTATCAAGTCTGAACCTGTGTTCCAAACCAAGGAAGACACTTTTTAACCAGTGGACTATTAGGTGATATATGGACTGGATTCAATCTCAATTAACTTGTATTTTGGAATAAGTACCTGACATCATGTCATATACTTTAGAAAAGCATCCAAAGTGTCCCAGCTTCTTTTTTTTTTTTTAAAGATTTTATTTATTTATTTGACAGAGAGAGAGACAGCGAGAACAGGAACACAGCAGGGGGTGCAGGAGAGGGAGAAGCAGTCTTCCACTGAACAGGGAGCCCGATGTGGGACTCGATCCCAGGACCCCGGGATCATGACCTGAGCCGAAGGCAGACGCTTAACGACTAAGCCACCCAGGTGCCCCAAAGTGTCCCAGCTTCTTGTGGCTTTGCATGGTTCTTGGACCTGGAGATTACTCTGTGAAGACTTGAAGGTTGAGGGGCAATTTGGTGGCAATCTAAGTTTCTTTACTTACTTTTACCTGGGCTGAAATAAAATCTTGTTTGGTTATATAAAGATATATTTGATAAACTTTCAATGGGAAAAAAATATGACAATGACTGAATTTTAGTTACAGCACCAAGGATTTTAGAAATCAGCAACTTAAGACATCATTTAGTTCCAGCTGCTAATTTTACATACGAGAAACTGACCACCTCTTCGGTGAAATGCAGAGGCAATTTTTGCTTGGAATTGAAGGTTAAACTAGATGACTTATGAGATTCCATTTAATAAATTTTTTTGAAACTGAGCCCTAAAGAATTTAAGGAAATTGCCCAAGGTCACCTACACCTAGCTGAATGTGGGAGGGAGAGCCTAAAGCAGAACCTAGGTTACCGGATTCCTTGTCCATTTAAGACTCTTTTTCATACCTAAGGTATTTGAAACTCAAAACAGTGAAGTACTTTGGATAGTACACTCTGAGGAAACAGCATAGACCTGGCAATCACATAACTGCATTCGGATTATCTTTTAATTCCCAATGTGGTGAGTCACATAGTAAAATAACATTGGCATACTGAAATGCCATATCAGGAACTAATTAAAAGGGAAAGAAAATCACTCAGATGAACTTTGTGATTTCCTTTGAATATTTTGACAAGTGTAACCTTGAATGATGACCTGCTTTGAATGCAAATTTTCTCATGACAATACATTCAGTGGATAAACCAGAGCTCCTCCTACATAAAGACTTCATTTCTTAGGTCATTTAAAATCCATTAAGCTAAGAAACTGTTCATTGAGACAGATTTCAGTGGTATTTCAGAAGAATTTGATTATAACTGGATACATTATTCACTCACAGTAAGTCTGAAACTGAACTTTGGGAGAGGGAGTGTGGGGATGAGAGGTAACTTATTTTAAAATTTAATTATTTCCTTTAAAAAGAAATTATTTAAAACAATTTAATAAAAATGGGCTCATAAATCTTTTAATGGCAAAAATTGTTTGCCTTGGTATATATTAATTTGAGGAAATACTGCATTTTTTTGCATGCAGCTAATTAATAGGTGTTGGATAATCAGTATGAATAACATTGCTTAATTTCTAGTTTTCTTATTGGCCTTTATTTCCTATAAAAATCATACCTCTTATAAGCAAACCTGGTCCTTTGGAAATGGTAAGGATAATTGCATTTTAGAGTTAAGAAATTTTCTGAAATTATTTTCTGTGATTTTTTCCCCCCTATAAATGAGAATTCTCTACTTTGCAGCAATTTTCTCTCTTAAGCTCAGAAATAACCATAGAGCTCCTCTAAAATGGATTACTTAATATATTTTATATGATGTTTTGATTTAATTTATGGAACATGCGTATCTTCTATATGTGATGATTTCATTTATTTGTGTAGTATGGTTAAACACATGTATAGTAGAGTTATTAAAATAAAAATTCCAATTTTCACTGCTTTTGCTCTGAAATGGACTAGCATCTTATACATTTAATGCTTGTTTTCTTCTGAAAAAAATACATAGTTAACACTTAAATCTGACCATCACTTTTACACACTGCACTCACTTTGGATATTTCCAGATTCATTTTCTTTGTTTAATATGTAAGAGGATATATGAAACCACGACATGAATACAGGGGATTCACCGGCTGTTTTTGATACAAATTTTATTAAAGTATGAAACGTTTTAGAGAGTTTAAGACTTAAGTAAATTGCATAAAATTATTATTATTATTATTATTATTATTATTTGGAGCAGAGAATAATAAAGTAAGGACTAAGCAATCCTCATCTTAGTTTATCTGTAAAATGAGCCAAGTGTCCTGATGACGACTAATGTTGTGAAAGGCAATAGAAATGTTAAAAACAGGGGCACCTGGGTGGCTCAGTCGGTTAAGTGGCCGACTCTTGATTTCGGCTCAGGTTATGATCATGGGTCGTGAGATCGAGCCCAGCATAGGTCTCCGTGCTCAGCAGGGCATCTGCTTGAGCTTCTCTCTCCCTCTCCCTCTGCCCCTCCTCCTACTCACATGCTCTCTGTCTCTCAAATAAATAAATCTTTTTTTTAAAGAAATGTTAAAAACTATTATTTAAATGGTAGGATTAAACAAAAGGAGTGGGGGTGGAGTGGGTTGCTTGTTCATTTTAATGTATTTTTCTGGGTGTCTTTGAGGAATTGATAGGAGGTGACTCTTGGATGTGGAAGAAGTAGAAGGCAACTAATAGCAATTGAGTTATGCCCACTATGCTGCAGACACTTATATGCACTATATCTTTTTTTTTTTTTAAGATTTTATTTATTTATTTGACAGAGAGAGACACAGTGAGAGAGGGAACACAAGCAGGGGGAGTCGGAGAGGGAGAAGCAGTCTTCCACTGAACAGGGAGCCCGATGTGGGGCTCGATCCCAGGACCCTGGGATCATGACCAGAGCTGAAGGCAGATCCTTAATGACTGAGCCACCCAGGCACCCCTGCACTGTCTCATTTAATCATTTCCTAAACCCTATGGTGGCAAGTATTGTTGCCTTTGTTTTATAGATAAGAAAATTGAGGCATAGAGAGCTGAAGTGTCTTGGCCAGATCTGTGAAGCTGCAATATCCATGCTGTTTCCATCATTCCATGCTGCTTCTAGTCTGGGGTCACTGAGGCAATGCTGAGAAGATAAGCTCTTTGGAATTTATTTCTTCCATTCATCAAGACTTATGCTGAGGAGATGGATAATGTACAGGGTCATAGAGTATGACCAGTCATACTACAAGTGCCTACATGTTATGATTTAGGAGACTGCTGACAGGTGCCTACCCACAAATATTCTCTTCATTGACCTGTCTCAGTCACTTTGCCTAAGATTTTACCACTAAAGTCATTACTTTGGATGTGGAAGTGTTTTGTTTGTTTTTTCTTTGCCAGTGGGGATATTGGGAGGACCTTCAAATGCACATATCCCTAGAAAGGTTCATAGATTAAGTCTTTTATCACTTAATACCTTAGCAGTCAGCATGGAATAGAAGAAAGAACTGAGATTTTGGAGCCAGGAAGACTTGCAGTTGAATTCTGATTCCACCATATCCTAGCCGTTTAACTTGCATAAGATACTGCATCTTTTCAGAGCTTCATTTTCTTCTTGAGTAAAACAGAGATAGGGGCGCCTGGGTGGTGCAGTCTGTTAAGCGTCCAACTCTTAGTTGCAGCTCAGTTTGTGATTTCATGGGTTGTGAGACTGAGCCCTGTGTTGGGCTCCATGCTGGGCGTGGAGCCTGCTTAAGACTCTCTCCCTCTCCCTCTGCTCCAACCCCACCACCTGCTATCTCTCTTACATCTTTAAAAAAAAAAATAATGCATATGCATAGGCCCTTATTACCGTAATCAATATATTGAACATCTCGTATGGGTTGTTGTGGTAGAGTGGGAAGAGCACTGGAATGGAATTCAGGAGACTTTTGGTGTTTTGCCATATCTGTTTCATTTATTCAGGTAAGTATTTATTGAGTATCTACTATGTGTCTTGCACTGTGCTAGGCACTGAGGATACAACATAAACCATTTGAAGTCCCTGCTTCCTTATATCTTAAATTCTAATTTGTTGCTAAACTAACTATATCCATATTCTGGTCATGCAGAACAGTATTAATATTCTTCCCATTTTAGGGATGGGAAACTAAGGGTTAAATTGTGAGCAAATACATATAGTGGTGAGCAAAATGAATATGATCCCTGACCTCACTGAGTTTATAGTCTACTGGAGTAGAAATTAATTTGATAATCCCACAAATTAGTATAAGATTAAAACCATTACAAGTCTTTAAAGGAAATATAGTGCTCATAAAGCACATAACAGGAGCTTCATTTCAACTTCTTTCAGCAAGTGACATCTGAGCTGAAATCTGAAGAATGAATAGGTACTAACCAGGTCATCCTTCTACATGTCTTTACTCAGAGTCTTTTGGATTTTCCTCCATTCTTTTACACCCTCTTTGGTGGGTATTGCAAACTTTCTCCTCTGCTTTTGAGCCCTCTACTCAGCTACTACATATTTTTTCTCAGGAGGTAGGCTTGTCTCCTATTTCACACAGCAAATAAATGCCATCAGGTGTGACTGAACCTCTTATCCACCAACCTCACTGTCTTTTATAAACACATCAATTTTTTGTCTTCATCCATGCTTTTGTCTTGTCTCAGAGCCCTCTGTCAGTCCAAATTCAATCTTTCCACTTTTGTTTTAGATTACATGCTGGCCTCTTGCTTTTTCAGGGATCTTTTTACATAATTATTCCCTTTCTCTTCTGTCTTTTAGTCTCTTCCTCTGCATGAGTTCTTTTCTCAGCAAAGAAAAAGATACCTTTTCTTAACCCTTCTCTGTACAACAAAGACCAGCACAACCCATACAACTAAACTTCAAAAAAAAAAAAAAACTGGTCCATATATATAACTGCCTTTACCAAAGTCACTAATTACTTATTTCCTTTTTTTCTTTTTAAAGATTTTATTCATTTATTTGAGAGAGAGCGAGAGAGAGAGCACAAGCAAGGAGGAGGGAGAGGGAGAAGCAGACTCCCTGCTGAGCAGGGAGCCTGATGTGGGGTTCCATCCCAGGATCCTGGTATTATGACCTGAGCTGAAGGCAGACGTGTAACCAAACAAGCCACCCAGCGCCCCTTACTTATTTCTAAATACAACAGACACATTGCAGTTCCTGCCTTTTTTTTTTTTTTTAAGATTTTGTTTATTTATTTGAGAGAGAGAGAGCACAAGAAGGGGGGAGGGTCAGAGGGAGAAGCAGACTCCCTGCTGAGCAGGGAGCCCGATGCGGGACTCGATCCCGGGATTCCAGGATCATGACCTGAGCCGAAGGCAGTCGCTTAACCAACTGAGCCACCCAGGCACCTTTTGCAGTTCTTGTCTTACTTTCCCCTATGCCATCCCCGTTGGCATCTGAGGCACTTGGCTTTTTAATACCTTTTCCTTGAACTCTTCTACTTCAGTAGTTTCCCTTGATACCGTTTCCTCTCAATACCACTTATTACCATCAGTATTACGTCCAGAGTCTTTTAACATGGCTCAGAAAGCATGTCTGTGTACATCTTATACTGCAACCAAATCAAATCCCTTGTAGATGCCTGAATTCATTAAGCTTTCTCACTTCCCTGCTTTTGCCTAATCAATTTCCATTAAGGAGGAATCCTTCCCTCATCCCTTGCCCCTGCAAACACTTACTCCTTTTATATGAGATAGTTTAGGTACTACTTCCTCTAAGGACTCTTACTTGACCACTTTCATCTCTCCAGACCAGATTAGGTACCTGTCCTCTGTGTTTCTAAGTGCTTGCCTCTCTCTTAGAATTTACCACACCTTATTATAACCGAAGTTAGTATGAAGTTAGTCTGCAACTTTGGTATCCAAGAAATTTCACATTTTATCCTTTTCTTTTTTTAAGGTTTTATTTATTAATTTGACAGAGACACAGTGATACAGGGAACACAAGCAGGGGGAGTGGGAGAGGGAGAAGCAGGCTTCCCGCGGAGCAGGGAGCCCGATACGGGGCTTGATCTCAGGACCCTGGGATCATGACCTGAGCCGAAGGCAGACGCTTAACGACTGAGCCACCAGGCGCCCCGAAATTTCATATTTTAATATGTTCTTTAATCTACCCTGTATTCAGCATTCTGCCAGGAACGTAAGATATGCAATTTCATTTAATACTTGAGCCTCCTGCCAGGTTATGCTAATATTCTGAGGCCTTAGGCAACACCAAAATACCAGAGAGGCCCTTTTGGTCACTGATCTTTACTTTTCTGTCATCTCTCTGATATAGTCTTTGAGATACCATTTTGTCTCAATCAGGGATGGCCCTTTCAGGTTTGCCCCTTCCTAGGCTGCTACCATCAAATGTTGAG